ACGCTGGCTTGCATCCATAGATGCTTCTCAAGCAAATCCTGGGACGTCATTCTCCCCTTGTACTCGGCCTTAGTGAGGCCGCAGCTGGAGTACTGCATCCAGTTTTGGGCTCCACAATTCAAAAAGGATGTGGAGAAGCTTGAGAGAGTCCAGAGAAGAGCCACGCGCGTGATCAGAGGTCAGGGAAGCAGACCCTACGATGACAGGCTGAGAGCCCTGGGGCTCTTTAGCCTGGAAAAGCGCAGGCTCAGGGGTGATCTGATGACCACCTACAAGTTTATCAGGGGTGACCACCAGTATCTGGGGGAACGTTTGTTCACCAGAGCGCCCCAAGGGATGACGTCTAGGTCGAATGGTCATAAACTACTACAAGACCATTTCAGGCTGGACATAAGGAAGAATTTCTTTATTGTCCGAGCCCCCAAGGTCTGGAACAGCCTGCCACCGGAGGTGGTTCAAGCGCCTTCATTGAACACCTTCAAGACGAAACTGGATGCTTATCTTGCTGGGATCCTATGACCCCAGCTGACTTCCTGCCCTTTGGGCAGGGGGCTGGACTCGATGATCTTCCGAGGTCCCTTCCAGCCCTAATGTCTATGAAATTCTTGCCTGTAAAAGTGTTCACATGGGCTTGCTGGGTTGCTGGAAAAAAGTTAGATGCTGAGCATAGTTCAGCACTTGAACTTCTGTGTATGGGTAAGAAGTGAAGACTAAAAAAGGGCCCTTATGCCTGAAAAAGGTCAAGACCTCTGAGGGATCAGAGACTTTTGTGTATACTTGAGATGCTGGAAGATCTGTTTTTAAAACTAAGGGTTTGCTGATATTGGACAAAGCTCATCTTGGAGATGGTGTTAACTCTTGACCATAGGGTTGTTTTTCACCACCCCCCAACTCATGACTTAACTTGTTCCTATTTACATTGTCAGGGGCTCCGCCGTTCTTGAGACCACCTGGCTTGCCAGGACTGCGTGGACCTTTACCACGACTCTTACCACCAGGACCTCCACCTGGCCGACCCCCTGGCCCTCCACCGGGCCCACCTCCAGGTCTACCACCTGGTCCTCCACCACGGGGACCCCCACCTCGCCTGCCCCCTCCGGCACCCCCAGGTAAAATTTTCTGCTCTTTGTTTCTACTCATTTACAGTCTCTTGTTTAAAACCTTTCTACTAGTCAAGCCATTTCACAGAGTGGGGAGAAAAGGACTTTCCCAGTGCCCTGGACAAACAAAGTAAACTGTTTCATAATACTAGTGTGCCCCCGTTCAGTCTGTCACTAAAACATGGCTTGGAGAAGTCTTCCCCTTTACATTAAGTCTCTGGGAGATACCACTTCCTCAGCAAGAACACTTCTGTTACTGTTCCATGCGGACTTATCTGAGGAAGTCTAAGTTCCTTTGCTACCACAGGGTCTAAGTTTGTACTCTGCTGTGTCATAATGCTATTCTAAAATGTCCTTGCACTGACCTCCCTCTTGGAATTCTTATTTCAGTAGCAGGCCTTTTCTGAAGCAGGGTAGAGTTTACGCTCCCTGGTCAGTTTTCTGATGTAACCGAGTTTCTTATAGGCATGTGATGGGAAGCTAATTTTCATGTGCTTTGTGCTCGAGCACTTCATATCTAAGAGGAATGTGAAAGAGGGTAGTATGCAGGATTTCTGGGCTTTTAAGCTCTGATGAGGGACATTATGCCTGTCTGGAATTTCCCCTGTTGTAAGTGTTTGTGTTCATTGTTCCTAATGGAGATCAAACTGATGCTGAAGGGCTTGAAGGCAACTGGTAATGTCACCTTGTAATGCTGTCCAATTTACTGGCCCCCTTTCAACCTATGAGCTTGCTCTAAACCCATGCCAAGTGTTCCTTCGGGCACTTAGCAGAACAGAGAGCTAGCTTAGACTTTCTGTTCCCCATACAGGTATCCCTCCGCCTCGCCCGGGCATGTTGCGTCCACCTTTGGTGCCTCCCTTAGGACCTGCCCCACCCGGGCTTTTCCCACCGGCACCTATTCCAAACCCAGGGGTGCTGAGTGCCCCACCCAGTTTGATCCAGCGCCCCAAGGCGGATGACACCAGTGCAGCCACCATTGAGAAGAAAGCCACAGCAACTATCAGTGCCAAGCCACAAATCACCAACCCCAAGGCAGAGATTACTCGCTTTGTGCCCACTGCCTTGCGAGTGCGCCGTGAGAACAAGGGTGTGTCTGCTGCCTCCCAGAGGAAACAAGATGATGAGCCTGCTCTTCCATTAACCAAAGCGACACCTAAGGCTGGATCCTCTGCCCCTGTCTCTGTTCAGACAAAGGATGATGTGTATGAAGCCTTCATGAAGGAAATGGAAGGGCTTCTGTGACCTAGCCTGTTTGCAGTCAACCCTCCTACTTGCTGAGCTGTGATCAGACTACCATGAGGGAGGAAGAGGATCCTTCTGACTGCAATGATTGGGTTGGAGGGCATGTGTTAAACGTAGCTGCCTTACCCAGAGGTTAACTTATCAAGAGTCTCTAAGTAGAGACCATTACATGTGGGGTGTGGCAGGGAAGCCCCCTTAGAGCCAGAATTTCCACTTCTAGCTTCTTGTTGGGGAGGAGACTTAAAGTCCAGAAGGTGACCCTGGTAAAAGGCCTTTCTTGGGTCCTCTATCATTGTGGGAATGAGGCTGTAATACTGAAAGAAGGGGGAGTGTATCACACTCAATGGAACCCTTTCACTTCATGGATGCTTTGTGGTAGGGTAATGGCACAAATTCCTGAGGTACCAGAAATAAGCTGGTAACATTTCATATACAGACCTGATTGTCGGGTTTTTATGTTCCTTTTTGTTTGTTTTTTTCTGTAAATATTTTATAGTACTATTTTTAGTTGCAGTGAAATCGATTAATCATTTTTTCTCCCAAGGGTGGGCAGGAGGTAATTTGTTGCATACATTGTACACTGGAGTTTTGCACTCTGTCCCCTCTGCAACCATCTTTGTGGTTAGGAGAAACTTCATTCTGTCTCATGAAAGACAATAAATGTTCAGTGTATTAAGACTCCTGCCTCATGGTCTGGTATCTATAATAATTCTGTACATAGCTTCTGGGGAGGGCTTGTTGCTCTGAGCCTCACAGTAGAAACACCGGGCTGTAGATTGTGAATTAAATACATTTTTTAAGATTTAAGTCATGAACGAAGTCAGTGCATTTGCATCTTTCATAAACTGTTCAATTCATCCCCGGCCTTTGCTAGTATATTGTGTAGTTTTGAAGACTGAAATGTTGAGGTCACATTAGTTGCAGACTTCTCTGTTTGTGTAACAAGCTTTAACTCGAATATTTTAATTGCACTTGTCCTAAGGACTGATGAGGCAGCATCTCAAATGAGAGAAGAAATCCATTTATCAATGGTTTAAAACATAGAAATACTTTTACTTTAGGAAATGTCGGGCACAAATTCTATGAAGAGTCCAGCTGAGTATATTGCCTGTTTAATGCTAGCAAGTAAGAAAATCCTATAATTGGCAAAATTTAAGTTGTTTTATTTTAAAAATAAACATGCACACATTAAGTTTATTATTTTCTACCCTAAACTGCTTTTTATTAACAGTAGTAATTTTCAGATGGAAGTGTTCCTTTATTTGATCAGTGTATATGCTGCTATCTGGTGTGCGTGTCTTCTTCCTCCCAGCTTTTTTTTTTTTTTGGCTGTATAAGAGTTTGGAATCTAATCTCTAAACTTAAAGAAAAAAAAATCTAGCACTTCTCTCTCAGAATATCATTTTTGAGCCATGATACATTGATCCATCTGTCATTATTAACTCTCTTGTCCATGAAGCCATGTATTAGTATTCCTCAAAAAGAGGCTTTTATAGGAAGATAACAAGAAACATAATGACATAACTGGACAGGAGGAAAAGTTCTCTTAGCATCTTCTACAGGCAATATGATACAGTAGGAAGATTTTGAAATGTAAGCAGCATATAATTTTGTCCTACAAGGGTCTCTCATACTCTCCATGTTTGTCCTTCCCACTTCCATGCAAGTCCCTGACTCGATGTTTATTTTCCTTTCAGTCTACGTATATTTTGACAGGCCACTTCTGTCACTTCTTCTGGGATGGCCTGAGGCTTGCAGCCACCTCTGTATCCTTAGTCCTAGAGTTGGTGAGAAAAGAGGAGGCAAGCCATAGTAACAGTAAAGCCAGCCAGGAATTATTTAATTAGGCATGCTTGGGCTTTAAAAGAAAACTACAGGAGCTAGGAAGCTTTATTGGACCACTTCCTGTAGCAGATGTCACCAAGGAGGAGAATAAATAGTGGTCCTGTGGGTGTGGAGAAGGAATAGAACTGGTGGGTAGGGCAGGGAGGAGGGGATGGACATTGGAAGGAGAAAGAAATAATAGGATTGCAGCCACTGGGATGTAAGTGAAGATAGCAGACCCTTGATAGTGGGCAAGATGGGGTGCAGCAAGCTAGATGGGGGTATTAGCAGCTTCTGTGCTTGCAGTGACAAGCATTTGGGTTCTAAGCACTTAAGGCTGCTTTTGTTCACAGGATCTATTGGTTTAAAATCTTGAGAGGCTGCAGTATTTTCCTGGGGGTATGTAGGTAGGGCTGGGATGGTTTGATATTTGTTGCCTTTTTTTCCCCTTGTGTGAAATTTTAATAAGTTGTGCTCCTGTCTGTTCTCCTATAGAATTGTTTGCAAGAGGTGGAAGAGGAGCTGGTTTCTGCCAAAAAGCTTGCTGTGTAAAACCAGCAACAATTAATTTTGGAACAAGGGAAGTCATTTTCTTCTGCCAGGAGGCTGTCATACATGCCCTTCCATCACAACAATTCCACAGCACTGGTGACTTTGGTTTGTTGTGGTGGGTTTTGTTTTGGGACCTTTTTGGGATTTTTGTTTTGTTTTGCATAGGTGAAATGATTTGGTGGTGTTTGTTGTGTCCCCCCCTCCCAGGATGCTTTTAATACATAGTTTTCTATTGTGCTTTTTTTGTAACATACAGTACAGTTTACAAAGGAGGCAGCAATTGTCTCCATTTCTCAGGTTGGGAAGCTAACAGAGGTGATGGGGTCTGTAGGCCCAGTGGCAGTCATGGTAGAATTTCGGTTTCCTCATTCCTTAGTCTGTCGCTGTGCTCCAGTGGACCATATTGCTGATGGAGGTGCTAGATCAGAGATAAGTGCAGTGGCAGTGTATTATTTGATTGTAAGAGTCTCTGGTCAAAACACCTTCTGTGTGTGAATTTTTATTTACTTATTTACTCATTTAGATTCATTTCTTGTCCCATCAGAAAGGAATAGAGAAGAAATGGGATGAGCAAGTAGTTGGTGGAGTGGAGGGAGCACTTTTTATGAATATTGGAAAGCAGAAATGGGAGGTTTGGGAGTATGAAAAGAGGAGGATGAATATTGGCAAAGTGTCAGAGGT